TTTACAAATTTGAAGTTGTAAATAAGATCAATTTTTTTTCAAATCTTGAAAGATTATCCTTCGATACATCTTTCTCATCCAGCACCTCAAGAATTTTCTTGATAAAAAGCACTTGAACTGACCAACACAACTCGCCATTACACTTCTTCCACTTTACCCTTTAGAATGGATCATTATCAAAAGTAAACTATGAAAATACAACATCCTTTAAACTCGAAAATATAGGTCAAAATTCAGGTCATTCAAGTAGAATTGTTTTATTGAGTATGCCATTACGATTTATCAAGCAGTCAGAAGGAAAAATTCATATTTCTAGACTTAATGTACTAACTTCTATTTCCACTATTTATTCAGCATATGTAAGGGGATCATTTCACATGAAGAACTATCTATTTTGCTTGTTCTTCTTAAATAAATTTTCCTTAACATAAAAATAAAAATAAAGAAATAAATAGCAACAGTAGAAGAAAAAATGAAGAATGACTGTAAAAACAAAGTATGCATATCTTTCGCCAAGCAATGTTCTAAATTGCCATTATCATAGCTTGGCCAGCAAAAGAACAAAGGGAGGGAGGAAGAGACATAGGCACCAACTAAGGAAGCACAAAAGAGATGGGCAACCAACAGAGGACACACATCGAACTCACGAGTCAGAAATAGGACCAACACTGGAGGACGTCTCATTGGCTATTGTACAGCCCTGGAGCTAATATGGAGAACCCAATAAATGAAAAACAAGACTGAAGAACACGACGAGAAGTTGCAACTAAGGGAGACGTTGAAACAAAAGACAAATAGGGCTCTTGTGCGGGGGTATATTTGTTTTTCCTCTCGGGACATTTTTGACAATTTATACTATTTTTTTATTCCGTGATCCTTAATCGAGAATTTTATATTTTATAATCTCCACCTGAAATTAATATCTTTAGAAAATTTTTAATTATCATTTTCCCTAAATACCAAGACATTTCAAATGCCAATGATGTCCCAAAGGTCCTTAGGTTATGATCTACTAATAAAGGAAATGACTTAAATACCCTATACAAAATCTAAAGATCAAGCCGGGTAAACTCACCTCTCCAAATTCCATGCATGTGGTTGTGCCCTAGCAGAGAGAACAACAATGATAGAGAACTCTAGCAACTTCGTCGTCACGCATCGGAGAATGTTGAGAGTTGTGGAGAGTTTGGATTAGGAACCTCAACCGTGGGACCAAAAGATGAAAGGGGATGTTATTTTAATTTGATTCTTGAAAATTTATTTATGTGCCTTGCTTCTCTCGCTCTTGAAGTTCTAGATACCCACCATCATCGCATTCATCTATTTTACCTTCCTCTGCGACTTCTGATTTTTTAGATGATGGTTTGTCTAGTTCATTTGCTATAGTGTCTTGTTTGTGGAAAATGTTTACATTTAGATCCAATCTGCGATGAATGGATGAAAATTGCTGAAGTTAGTATCCATCTATTCGTTTTGTTCTTTGTATTTAGTTTGTCCAATTTAAGTCAAACAAATAACTTGTGGGTTCCTTGGAGTGACGGCAAGTTAAAATTTAAATAATTCATTTAAAACTGGCTGCATGTGATTTTCAACCTAGCATAATAATATGATATAGTTGTTCTGAACTTGATGATCAGATTATTATCCTATGAAAACCTTTGTTTTAATAAACCAATTCCTAGTTTGAGAGTTAAAGTTGCAGTAATGAATTGGCTAGTTTTCCTGTGGCTATCGTTACTTAAAAATGCAAGGGATCTAGGTACTGGTAATACTGACCGTTTTTGTAGACATTGATGTTCTGATAAATTTTAGATATGGTGTCTTTGTTGTCTTCTATTGACATTTCAGTAGGGTTTGATATTTTAAGTATAATATTTGTGTTTTGAGCATTGCTTATTAGTGGATCAGATCATGATTTATAAGAGTGCTCCACTAACATGTCAATACATATAGTTTCTGAAAACTATACCTTACGAAAAGTTCCATTAATTGTCTACATATGCCAATGACTTGATTTATGAAGTAGCAAAATATCTACTTAGATAGCTGCCTATATATCAAGCTAATACAGCTAGATAGTGACAATACCACTGAAGCAATATAATTATCTGACTTCAAATTCCTAAGCATTCAAATGACAGATGTCCATGTTTATAGGAAATGGGTTCTTTCAGGTAATTTATTTGATGGCATTGTTTCATTGTCCAATCTACATTTGCTTATCATTGTTATTCAGAGGAGAGTATGTATTGACCATAGAAGGTTATAAATGTTAATTTGTAGAAAAGGAATTTTGTTGGTATATTCAGTTTGTTATCTGGACAAGTGGGTTTTGGATAAAAAATAGTGGAGCAAACTTCTTTGCTAAACTTAAACGAAACAACCCCACTAAAAGGGTATTTTTCTTTTCTTTTCTTTTCTTTTTCCTGCATCCCTTTTCTCTGTTAAATTTATGCGTCCATATGCAGGCCAAAATACTTGGCATTCTCTTGGTCGGTGTTGTATTCGAGGGAGAATTTTAATGTTCAATTAAAGGAGAATCTGGTGCTTGGTTAAGTTTGCCCATAAAAAACATAGTTTGTAACAAATGCAATCGATTTAATAGTTGATGATATTTATTGTTTATAAATTTTTATTATCATGAAAGATGTAATTGTGTTGATTCTCTTTCTGCATTGAGAGGGAACTAGGGGATGGAATTGCATTGGCTGCTTAGAGTGAAAAGAGCAAGCAAGATAGGAGGCAGAACTGGTCTAAACTCTGATAGATCAAATAATGGGAATTTGCTGTTTGGAAGGAACCAAGATTATGCAGATGAGCATCTCTGTGGAGCAAAGAAATATCTATTGTAGCTGGTTAATCATAGGAGAAATGAAGTTAGAGAACAAGTTTTTGCTTCTATTGCAGCTGCTGACTGATAAAAAAGGGCGGGAAAAAAGTCCAAATGAAGTTTAATGGTCTTTTTGTTTGTTGTAATTAATCAGATTGATGCCTTGTACGAATGTTTGATGTACTGATGAACTGATATGATCAATAGAGATGAGAGTTTGGATCATGTCATTTGCAAGTATACCTCCCTATTTTGCAACTACTGGTGTCTTAATTTGCAACTTTTCTCATCGATTTGGTCTGTTTGTGACGTGCATTTTGTAACTATTTTGAATTAATGAATTTACAACTAGTTTTCTTATTTTTTGTTTAGGAGCACTAAGCTTAATCATTAAACTTTAAAAGAAGCATGTCATTACTTATTCACTTCTAGAAATTTGTAACTCTATATTTCAAATTTGTAATTGTCTTAAAAAATTTGTAACTTGTTTTCCGTTTTTATTTAAGAACACAGAGCTTAATTATTACACTTTAAAGGAAGCAAGTTGTTATTTATTCACATCAAAAGATTTGCAACTATGTATTCTAAATTCACAACGTTGAATTAAAAAATTTGCAACTAATTTTCTCATTTCTAGATTTCAAAAGAAGCTAGACATTATTTGTTCTCTTCCAGAATTTTACAATTCTATATCCCAAATTTTCAACTGGTTTTCCTGTCTTTTTTTAAGAACACAAAACTTAATCATTTCTCTTACGAGAGAGAAGATTAATTTTGCAACTTGATGTTCCTTAATTTGCAAGTAGCGTTCTTATTTTTAATTCAGGGATTACAAGTTTAACACATAAGTTTAATATAAGAAATGACATGATGAATTACAACAGCTACGCTTAGATTTGTAGCTAACTGCTCATTTGTTTGCAATTGACGTTGCTATTTCTAATTTGGAATCAATAGTTTGACCGAAGTTTAAGATAAATGATTTGGTCAATTTCAAGGATTTGCAACTGCTACTCCCCAGTTTGCAACCTTTTTTTTTTTTAAATTTGCAAGTAGTGTTCCCTTGTTTAATTTGGAATAAAAAATTTAACAGATATTCATGAAAAATGATTTAGTCCATTGTATTAGTTAGTCAATTCTTTTGATTTGCAACTAAAAGCTCTTTAATTCGAAGGTAAAGTTCCTATTTTTAATTTAGAATAAAAATTTTAACATCAAAGTTTAAGATGAAAATTGACTTGGCCAGTCCCAAAAATTTACAAGAGTTACTCCTTGATTTGCAAGTAAAAGCTCTTTAGTTTGCACGTAAAGTTCTTGTTTTTAATTCAGAGATAGCATTTCCATTTTTTTATATACAATGCATACTACAAACTCAAAAGCACATATCTTCAAGTTGTAGATCCAAAGCAAGCAGCTTTTTCTTTTTTTGGTATTGGTCTTTGAGTCAGGGCATTGGTATCAAGCCAAGTGCTGCCATTTCTTTCATAGAACAAACAAATCATTAAAGAGCTTCTTCGCTTCATCGACTTAGAAGATTGAAGCTCTGACAGCCTCGGGTAATGTACAGCAGATGGTGGAACAGGCGGCCACATCCACCTACAGCGACAATAGAGGAGAAGACGTTGGAGACAAGGGATAAAGGCAAACTATGTTTTCAAGAGAACATCAGAATAGCTGTGCATGATTATAATTTTTTTTACAAGGGCAATTCGCTAATTTTGCTTTGTGAGTTTTGATCACTGAAAGACCATGGAATCTCTTGAGTTTTTTAATCTCGAGACTTACTTGGAATAAATTGCTTCCTTTGGTATATTATTATCGATGTCCCCAAAATTTATAACAAATAATATTACATGATAAACATTAAATTTTGATGTTACATTGTGTTCTCTTATACATTACTCACTATTAATCCAGTTTGCAAGATTTCAAAGATTGATTCACTACATTATGGGAGACTAATTTCTTCTGCTAAATTCAGTCCTTTATGATTACTCTTTCTCAAACTCTAGTGCACAAGAAGAGCATAAGACAGCGCAGCCGCAAAGGGAGACTGTCATGATGACTGATTACGTGTAGTCTATGCAATATATGTGAATCCACACGCATTCTTGAGTAATTTACATAGAACAGCAAAGTCATAAATAAAAATAACATCTGAGACTTTAAATTGAGCAAATATTTCTATGTCAACTCGCTTCTGTAGCAACACACAAAAAATACAACTTGGTTCACCTGAGCTTACTCAAAAAGAGTATCATCATGTGAATGCGACTACGTTGCTGGCATCACTGCTCCGTAATGCCCTATGACGCAGCATCGAGTCATTACAAGAGATGCAAATGGGCGTGAATAAGAAGTGAAAAGCAAACTGTTGTTACTCGTTGCAGACAACAGTAACACTTTGTTCTGAAAGAAAGGCCAGTTATACAAAAATCTATGAATAAATATAACACGACAGGCCATTATACATCATCCTTGTTAGCACACCGAAACTGTCGGGCTTTACTTTAAAAACCAAGTTTTCCAGATGTGTCAAAGTACAAAAACAGAAAGGAATACGATCTGCAAAACAATAGATGTAACAGCTATAAACGCAGTTGTCAGAGCGGTAACTGATGGTCAGGACACATGGATGTCTAAGGATTGTACAGCCCATTCTTCTCATCAGGTAGCTCCAAATAAAAAATCTTTCAATTCAGAACCTGCACGCACAGAAGACTTTTCCGTGGAAGCTTCTAGATGTCCAATTTAATACATTAATACTATGTTAAGGATGATGAAATAAGCGTACAAATAATTTTTTTTTTTTTTTGGTACCTTACCCAAGGATATAACAAGCCAAAGCTTCAAAAGCTATTGATTTTCATAAAAGCTCAAGCCATGACACTTAAGAAAATACATTGGAATCAATCTGTTGGATGTTGGGGAAGGTTTGCCTTAAGACTGCAAGATACTCCGGGGACTTAGCCTGAAAGAGCCGAGCAGGATTAAATTAGCGGTCTTAAAGAAATACAGTGAATATATTTAAAAGGAAATGGTAAACCATCCTCGTTTATTCTGAACCAGTAATAACCACACATCACAATCTATTGGTTTAAAAAATTAGGAAGCTGGTCCTTGCCATTAAATCATCATCAGTGTGTCGTTAAATGCAGTCGATGTGGTTAACCAAGAGCAATATAGGAACTCTAAATATGCATAATTTATGATAGTCCACCAAAATAACATAAACTAGTTATTCATGACACCATTTGCCGCTCATGTGAGTGAGTTTCTTTCCATAACTACCATCCCAATTTTCATAGGCATGACTTTTGTATGTGTATATATATATATATATATGTCTTATTAGCATCAGTACATCTTGACAAAACACAATAGTGAAGGCTTAATAACAGAAATCTAATTACAAGAAATTAAAAATTGAGTAAAACTCTGGGGACTGCTACTGTAATTTTAAGTATTTAACCCAGCAAAAACTTGTTGGTCAAGGAAAAAAAAAACTAGCAAAAACTCAAAGCTCCAACTTTATTCAAGGATCACAAACACTTGACTCATGCAAACAAAAGCAGAATTTCAGTCTAATTCAGGGAAATTAAATAGTAAAAAACTTAAACTAATTAAAGCATGCTTTCATTTTCCATCCATATTACATGTTCATCTGATTCTTTGACAATCTCAAATGATAGTCAACCCTAACAAGAGGCCTGATAAATAGCAAATAAACTAATAATGCAATGGTGATAGAGACATGCACCCATCTCCAAAGATGTTCAAATAAAATAAAAGTACGAAAATCATTAAGGCTCATGGAGACCATACACATGGATTGTTTTCTAGGTAGATAGTGGTAAGCTTCTCTCTTGAACGAGCAAACAGCCTCAGCAATTCCCTCAAGTGATCCTATCTGGTTGTCATTAAGCCATAGATCTTCTAACCTATGATAGATAATACAAAGCACTAAAGTTAGTAACAAAACGCCATAAATGATCAGTAGGAAGGTAAAAGGAAGAGCGTACATACTGTGTTAGGTTCTGAACATCATCCACTGATGTTAGCTTATTTGATGATACATCTAAAACGTGAAGATTGACTAAAGATGACAGGCCTTCCATTTTTGAGATGCCATTGTGGCTCAAGTATAGTTCTTCTAGAGCTATGCAACTCTGTGTTCAGACAGGAAAGGAAAGGAAAAATGTTGTCATTATCTTTACTAAGAGTAATAGTCAATTGAAAATACGTAGAAATTCCTAATCTCCCCTATTCCAATGAGTTTTAATTAGTAAATATAATTTGACAGGACAGCATATAGGCTATAGCTCATATTAGTACCTTGATTGTTTTTTAATATTTTCCCACAATACTATACCTCAAATCCTGTCATTGTAGTCAGACGATTGCTTTGCAAGCTAATTTTCTTGATGCATGTAAGTCCACACAAGTTTACAGCTTTAATTCGATTACGTCCAAGCCAAAGCTCCTGTAGATTTGTCAAGGTCTGCAAATTCTCCATTACCTGAATCAAAAGTGCAAATAAATCAGAATCCATGCCATGCTACGTTAGAAACTATTTACTATAGTGAGTAAAATCAGTGCCCGCTCTTCCACAGGGCACGCAATCATGCTCCTGCTCAGCATATCATGTTTGCCAGCACAAAAGCGTATCTGTCTCAAATAATACCATATGATTTCACTCCAAAAAAATCATACTACACAATAGATTTTCCTCTATTAAACCATATTACTAACCCTAAATTTGTTAGAGCCAAGCTCAAGAATCTGCAGTTCATGGAAGTGATCAATCTCCTCCATCTTTGTCACTTCATTTTTAGATACATAGAGCTCTTTCAATGTGTTGGAGACCCGGCACAACCCATTCAGTGAAGTAATTTCATTAAAAGAAACATCAAAAACCAATAGTCTCTTAAATATGCTGACATCAGGAATTTTTCTTAATTGATTATCGCGTAGCACCAGCTCCTGTATAAATATCAGCCCGTCATCAGCTTAACTATATAAACAAGATAATCAGAGCAAATGTACATGAGAGAAAAGCATTACTAACTGGCGTCCTACACAGACTGCCAACTACTTAGTTGCCTGTTAATTAAAACAACAACATGGAAAATTCATCTAAAGTTATTTAACAAGGTCTGAAGACTTCCTTTTCCTCTTTCATCCCGATTACAAAGATTCAATGTTTGGCGGTGATAGATTTCCATTTAGATTAAAATTGAAAATCAACCGACAAAGAACGAAGAATATGAAAGAACTAATTTACTCCTTAACTCACCTATCACCTGAAATGGCAGGAGCATAAATATGAACATTCTTAAAGGGAAAGAAAAAAATCCATCTCACTCAGGACGTCAAACTCCATTAGAAATTTCATCAGGATCATCCTGCATTGTCATGCCTTTTTCATGGGCATGTTAGGATGGGGAATTGAGGGGAGGGCGAGGGTAGGTTTAATGTCTCCTTGTCTTGGAATTGTTAATAAAGAGGGTACAGTAAAATCTTTATAATTTTAAGTTCCTCCCATTTAGAAAATTTTGAAAGAGAGTTTCCACCAACAAAGGAAAAATCTTCCTTTAGTCCGGAATCAAAGACCAAATTCAATACAGCGCACCCACCTAAGCCTCAAACAATAAAAATCGGTTATTTAGGTCCCATATTCCTCCTTGGGAGAGGATTGAGAGAGAGCAGGGACCGATTTTCCCAAGACCTCTTTAAAAAAGCATGAGTTGAAATACCTCAAGACCGGAAATGTCATGCCAGGCAGAAAGGGGCTCAACGGCAGCGTCAGTAAGAAGGTTCTGACGAAGAGAAAGCTTCTTGAGATCAGAGAGATGTGCTATGCGAGTATCTAAGGTGGATAAGCGATTGGTGGTGAGGTCCAACTCGGTGAGGGTGGGAGGCAAGTCTACGGAATCGAGGTCATGTAGTTGACAGCTAGTGAGATCCAGGAGCCTGGAGGAACGATCGTCCTCAACATCAACCGGATCCTTACCATTGGGATCACGAGCCGCTGGAGTTTGGGTTCCATCGTCCATCTCTGAAGAGTAACATCGATGGCTTTGGGAAGACGCAAGCCCCGGCTCGATTATTATGCTGTGGCGGTGATTGTTTCGGGGCTACCAAATTTGCGAGTGATCGGGTTGTCGTTGCCCGGGCAAGATGGTGAAGTATTAATTATTTTTTCGCTTCCCCAAACAAAGAAAGGGAAATTATGGATAAGTGTTGGGTTAAAAAATTAATTATCAACAAAGTACTATTGAATTTGACTAATTACTAAAGACTATTACTATTTACTAATAAGCTAATGAAAATCGGGTGAAAATAAATTTTTAGATTTGATTTTTAAATATAATAGGAATAAATGTAAACAAGTTCTCAATTGAACTCTAAAACAGAGAGTTGGAAAAAATTATAAGTTTTCCTGTGATATTAATAAGTTAAAATTAAAATTGTATAACTTGTCTTGTGTGTTTTGCATTAAATCTCCAGGAAACTCATGAGTAATTTTTTTTTTCAAATTTATTTATTTATTATTTACTTGAGATCTACACATAATTTTTCACAGTTAAAAAAAAAGAGTTTAGACGGGATAAATTTTTAAGTTTCAACGAGACATGCAAGTGTAATTTTCTTTCATACGGACAATTTTATTATTGATGATATAAACTATACAATTTATAGAAAATGATACATTTGCAAGTTATAAATAGATTAGCCTTTTTCTTAAATGTAAAATTTCTATCTTTTGTACGAAAAAGGGTCATAAAAGTTAAATTTGATTTCTTTCAATTTTTTTTTTAGCGAATAATATTTCATTTTGATTTAATGTTGATGTTTTTTACCTAACCCAAAAAAAATTGTTGATGTTTTTGCATAGCATGTAACTCCATAATTAATGAACACCATCCAAGTGTTTTTTTTTCTGGGTTGAAAAATTCAATTGTCTTTGTCCTTTATCTATTATTTATTTATTTTTTAAAATGAAAAGAAAATAAATAAATCATTCAATATAAATATTGACAACAAAATTAAAGATCACATGAATAAGACAGACTACTTCAATGAAAGGTAAAAAATTACAACTTCACTCATAGAAATTGAATTTATCAAAATGGGCTAGTACTTTACAGCATAAGGAACTAAGATTTAAATCTTACATAGGAAAGTGCTCACATTTAATATCTAACAATATTTCAAATATATCACGTTCAATATAAAGATACACGAGTTTAAAAAAAGTTACATCTTTAATATTGCACAATGTGTTTAGTTAGGCATTCCATTTATCTTACTATGACACAAATAAATGCGTGTAACTAACCATATGAACTTTGGCTTCCATTAATACTAGTTCTTAAATCATGATCAAAATCATGAACCTACCTGCATGGAGTTCAGTTGTTCATATCTTCATCCTTCTTCTCTTATTCCTCTACATCTTTGCATAATTGGATTGTCTCGTTCCTTCTTTCCAAACTCTCCCTTTTCCATAATGGAATATGATCTAAACTTGGGGTCTGTTTGCTTATTGGAGAGGAATGGAGTGGAATATAATGATTTATAAAGATAAAGAATAAAATAAACTAAAATAAACTTATAAAATAATAGAGAGAGAGAGACAATAAAAAAGTTAAAACTATAGGGTGATAGGAGGGGTGGGAATGGGAATTCTCATGAATAAAGTCATCAATCTCCATTCTCACTTTTTTATCATTCGAAAGCTTTCACCTCTTTATAATTTTCTTCTTTCTAGTAGTACATAACCTTGTTTTAATTTATTGTGTTCGCTATCAATATATTCATTTTCTTTCAATTTCATTTCAATAACCAAACAGCTTTTAATGTTTTCTTTGCTTTCCCCTTGCAAATTGGACCTTTTGAAATGCAAAAAATGACACAAGCAAACCAAACACAAGAAGAACTTTATGGCAGAGACTTTTCACTCACTTGTGTTGGAATATTTGAAAGGAAATATGCAAAGCAATCTATTTTTAAGAAGACTCTCTTATCAAGAACATTGCCTTCTCTTATCCCCGAGACATAACTAATAACATCCACTTTCAATCAACATTTAGTTGTATGTCTTGAAAATATGATAGATCCCATGCAAAATGGTACCCACTAAATCTTGAATGAGTTAATTTGATATTGATGGCTTGTTTGATATCAACGATGTTATTGCTTGTAAAGGACTCATTTGTAATGACCAAGAAAATTGGATTAATTTTTTTTAAATATCTTATTTATTACCCAACATTGTTGTCAAACTTTTGACATCTTGAAGGCCTTCTTTTTTATTTATTGGGATATTAAATTTACTAAGGTCAATATATATGTAAATTCTCTTAAAACTCTCTTACTTATTCTATAACATTCCAATTTAAATTTTAATAGTTAATTTGGATTAATAAAAATTTTAAAAAATATTTAGAGGTAAGAAAATTAGTAGACAATGATTATTAAATCTAATTTAGGATATAATTCTAAAAAAATTATTAAAAAATTATTAATTAATTAAAATAAATAAATAAATATTATTAAATTATTATTATTATTATAAAAAGAAAGAAAGAGAAAAGGTATGAGAAAGAGGAAGGAAGGAAAGAAGAAAACGTAATCGGCTTTCGGTGCAATCATTGTATAAAATAATAAAAAAAGAAGAAGAAGAAGAGAGAGGAAAGAAGAAATAATAAAAAAAATGTGGGACCCACTGAATTTTTTTTATAAAACCCACCTCCTTCCTTCTTTCTTCACTTCTTCATTTCTTCATTCTTCCCTGTGCGCGAGCTGAGGCAGAGAGAGCGTTTAGTCTCGCTGGTGCTGGGTTTTAAGGTAAGAGTTTTTAATAGGACATTTAGGGTGTGATTTTAAGCTTTTCAAGACTAAGTAAGTGTTTTAAAAATTTTTTTTAGTCATCCTTCCTCTTTGGTTTCTGATTTTGTGGTGGTAGAAAATTTAGGATTTGGAAGAGGGATGAATTTATGTTGAATAAATATGGTTTATGAGGTTGTTAGTGGTATAATAAATGTTCTAGAGTATAAATTTGTTGATGATCTTTGAATTTGTGGCTTATGGATCAAATTCTAAACTAAATCTGAAAATATATGTTGATTTATTAAGATTTAGATGATTATTTGGGATGAGAAATGAATTATTATGGCTATAGAATTATGATTCTAAGTTAGAGATTCAATTTTTAATTTTTTAAATATTTTATGTGCGAATTTATGAAATAAAAAGAAAATTTTGATAATAGAAATTAGTTTAGAAGTTGATTTTTAGATTATTAATGTTTATTGATGAGTAAAAGAGAGTTAAAAATTTTACTTAATAGTATTAACTCTAAATTTGTATTAAGATTGAGATTAGGAATTATGTTATATTTTTAATTCTATTATTAGAATTATTTTATTAGTTTCAAAAATTGAAACTAATATTTATAAATAATATATTATTTGTAGATTGTATTATTGGTGAAGATTGTGGTGGGAAAAAAATTATAAGGAATAATTTATTAAAAAGCCACAAGGTAACCATGCTTTTAATTTATGATTAGTGTTACTTCATGTTAATTGGGTGATTATTGAGAAAATTATGAATTTTGTAATATTATATAATTGTGCAATATTATTATGAATTTGTTTGATTATTGTGGGAGGTGTTGGGAGACTTGCTATTGTTGTTATATTTATGTGCCACATGGTACGCCCCTATTAGAGCTCAATAAGTAGCTTGTAAGGGCTCGGGCTAATCTACCTTTGGCCGAGTAATTTAGCACCGAGTGAGGGCTACGGCTCGAGATTAATGGAGGGATATAAGGATGGTTATTTGTGTGTATTATAATATTTCTTATATTTTGTTGGAATTATATTATTTTTTATTCCCACTTAGTAAGCACACACTTAACTGTTTGTATACACTATCATAAATTGGCTTTGGTTACTGGGACTTTTGAGTCTCATTATGTGGTTAACAATTTTCAGAGAAGAGCCACGAGTGACACGTGGAGGAGTCCCAGAGGCTTAGTGACATAGATCCACTGTCTCTTTTGGGTATTTAATTTATGATTTATAATGTGTTATATTGCCAATATTAAGGCTTTTTGTTTATTGACAATTATATGAATATATAAGTGTAATCATGTCTTTCAAAGTATTTCTATTTTTGGTATACTTTGGATGACTGTAATTTAAATATTTGATTTACTTTGGATTGATTAAAATGGCATGATTATGAGGTCAAATAACTGGCTTATATTAAAAATTGACTAAATTATTTATTTTACTTGTTGGGAGTATAAGGATGGACAAATGTGATTTAGCCTAATGGCATGTGGGAGGTAAAAATTTATTTGAAATGTTATATTGTGTGAGTTGAAGCCAATTATAAAATATTTTATATTAAAATTATTGATATAAAAATATGTTGGGTGGCTGTAACCCAACTATGATTGAGTTAAATTATAAAAAAAAAATTTGGTATGTTACAAATTTTTTTATATAATAGCCCTCTGGGTCACCACTGCCTCTCCAGGGTCTTTTCCCAGTGCTGGACAACACACATGTCACCACATGATTGCCGGCGGTTATTCCTCACCCCACCCTCACGGGGGTCTTTTGGAACCTCCCCAGACTCGAACCTCCAACCTCTACCACCTTAACGAAGTTGAGGCGAAGTCTGGTACCATTGAGTCAATGGTACCAGACTTCGCCTCAACTTCGTTAAGGTGGTAGAGGTTGGAGGTTCGAGTCTGGGGAGGTTCCAAAAGACCCCCGTGAGGGTGGGGTGAGGAATAACCACTGTACCACCAGTGAGAAAGCCGGCAATCATGTGGTGACATGTGTGTTGTCCAGCGCTGGGAAAAGACCCTGGAGAGACAGTGGTGACCCAGAGGGCTGTTATATATTCAACACTATTTCATCTAGAATTATCTTCTCTCCAATATTATCAACAAGATAAAGGGATTACCATGAGAGACTAGATAAGAATTTTTAATAATACTTTTAAAAAAGTGAATAATTATGCTGATTGACTAACTCATCAAGTTTTGAGTAAAATTTTTGTTGATATGCATGTTAGTTGTAAAAGCCTTTTAAGCTTTGACATGAGTTAATAGTTATACCCTGCACTATTTACCGTAGCCCTTTTATTCAAAAAGAATGTAATAATCAATATATCAACATGTGGACAATAAAACCTATACCAAGTTACACTATTTTCATTCCTTCCTTGATTAAAATCGTAAAACACGTCCATGTGATCAGGTGAGTCTTAAATCAAAAACCAAAGCATCAAATGTATGAAACTATCACGTAGAGTCCAATAAGATTTATATACCACACTAAATCTAAATGTCTTATAGATTTAATTTAAATGACTAGGCAAAGATATATCAAACATAGACTACGGTGAGAAAAGAATGCCATTGCTTCGTCTAAAATTACTTAATGATCAAAAGATTCAAAACCCTCAATCAAACAGTGTATTATTCCTTAACATTGTTGGATAAAGATAAGTCTCAAGCTAAAAGTTACATGTACGGGCTTTCACGTTTGAGTTTCATCACTGAACAAGAAGATAGTTGATGGGAGATGCAATTAAATGATCTATCATCAAATTTAACTATTTTAAATTTAGTCGAGAGTTTTGGCCAAAAATTTAGCTGAGAGTTGTCCCTCAACTTCAAGTGTAATTGAGAACTAGTTCTTGCGTTAGAGCAAAGCAACAACCTCATAAAATTTTTATTACTCCATTCGCTGATGAATATAAGATCTATTTGAGAATTTCAATTTTGTTCTAAATATAAGATTTCATTCCTTCTCTGATGTTAAATTTTACATTCTCATTAATTCCCTTGTTTATTTGGACATTTTTTATCTCTACATATTAAATTTTAATTGTTAATTCGTAAGGGCATCTTTAAAACAAAAAACGTAACAATTTTTTTGCATATTAATTACAACTAATTAATTTACCCATTTTTCATTCTACAAATGAGTTAAGAGCACCTTATGCTTAGAGTGGGAAGGAATATATTATGGGAAAATTGATAAAAAGAACCTAATTGAAAGAAAAATTATGTCCAAAGATCAAGTTGAATTCAAGAACCAAAATAAATATTTTATTTATTAAATAATATGAACAAATGACTAAAATGTTTCTTTGTTTAAACAATGTTCAACACATGTACGCCAAACCAAAAGCTTGTACTTGTAATAATAAAAATCACAACTTACTTTTCTAGCTCGGGATACACGGCTTCTAGCTTGGGGTGTAAAACTTCTGGCTGGGGAGCAATGCTTCTGACTTTAGATGCAAGGCTACTGGCTTGGATGCAAAACTTTTAGCTTGGGGTACACGTGTTGAACAAGCAGCTTGTTTTTTTGTTCAATTTTATTTGTTTAAACAAAGGGGCATTTTGATCACTTGTTCATTTTGTTTGATGAATAAAAATATATAGTTTGATCCTTGAATTCAACTTGGTCATTAGGCATAATTTTTCCTTTAAGTAGGCTTTTTTTCCACCAATTTTCTTATATATTATTATTGTATATTATCTACTTTATTAATTATTTAAGTATCATTGACAATTAAAAATATAATTTTTTATTTTGGAAAAAAATATTTTTTATTAATATAAGATGGAAATAAGAAGAAAGAGGGGAAGTAAAAAGAATAGCAAGGCAAGAAGAATTGGAAGGGAAAATAATAGAATATAGTTCATTCACTTGGGTACAGAATATTTTTTTGTTGGAGAAGAACCAAATCTTGCAAATAAATTTACAGCAAATGTAATATCAGATTTTATTGAATTAGTAAGATACATTAATACACTTATAGCACAAGGGTATAATATTCAAGACCAAGAAGTTCTTCATCCTTCTCTTGAGAATGAAAATGATTTTTTTTTTCTTATCAAGAGATCTTACAATCATCGAAGTAGTTAATGGATATGTTTTGTCTATGTAAAATTGCTTTAATATTTTTTTTAATGTAAGTTGATTGATGAAGAAAAATTCCATTTGTTAAATTATTTGATTTGTAAACTAAGGCAAAATTTTGTTCTTCCTAGATCTTTTATTTCAAATCCTTTCTTTAAATAATCAACTGTATTTTAGAGCCCATCAAAAGTTTCAATTATATCCAAATCATTTATATAGATAGTAATTATAACAAACTCTAATCTATTTCTTATTATAAAAACACATGGAGAGATTTGATCGTTTTTATAACCTTCATTTAGCAAATATTCACCAAGACGGTTATACCACATTATTCCATATTGTTTTAGTCCATATAAAGATTTATGCAAATGAATTGCAAATTTTTCTCAAGAATCTTTACATACTTCTGACAATTTGAATTCTTTAAGGATTTTTATATAAATTTTTATATCTAAAGAGCCACATAAATAGGCTGTAACAACATTCATAATGCGCATATCAAGTTTTTTGTATACTATCAGACTAATTAGATATTTTAAAGTGATTGTATTCATCACAAGAGAATATGTTTCTTCATAATCAATACCAAGTTTTTATAAAAATTATTGTGCTACCAATTGTGCGTTATATCTAATGATTTCATTTTTCTCATTTCGTTTTCACACAAATACACATCTCTATCTAACTGGCTCTATAGCATTATGTATTCGGACTATAAGTTAAAAAATTTTACATTTTGAAAGTAAATTTAACTCTACTTGACTTGCATCTTTTCATTTTGGTCAATCATTTTATGTCTATATTCTTCAGTCAATTTTAGTTCTAGATCTTCATTTTAATTCATTATTTCACTTTTCAAAATGATGATGGTTTATTGTTAGAAAAAATATTTCAACAATATTATATGAAAATAACACAGCGTACATAGCTCAATTGAAAGGAGTATACATCAAAAGATATAGAATAAAATATATTTTTTTAAAATTCTTTTTCACTCATGACCTTTTGAAAAGTAGTGATATAAATGTTTCATAAATTTGCTCATGTGACAATCTTTCAGATTTGTTTACTAAAATACTATCAACTTTGACATTTAAGAAGCTTGTGTGTGGTATTAGAATGTGCAAATTTAGAGACACAAAGTGATCGTATCATCAGAGAGAGTGAAGTAATATTACTATCAAGAGGAGACTATGGAAGTAAATATAATGTTGTACTCTTTTTTTCTTTTCAAGGGTTTGTCTTATTGAGTTTTTTTGAAAAGGTTTTTAATGAAGCAATTTTAATGAGTGTTTAAAAATATTATATTCTATTTTTTCACTAAATTTTTATCTTATTGAGTTTTTTCAATAAGGTTTTAATAAAGCACAATATTTATTATAGACATCCAATAAAAGGTATTATGAATATTATACGATTATATGAGTGGATGTCCATAACTCGTAATGTTTAGAATATTTCATCTCCCATAACTTTCTAATGAATAATTTAAAAGGAGTTTTTTAAAGTTAATGCTTTATAACCTTCAAATGTTACATACTATATTATTATATCCTTATTTATTCATTTGTAGCATTAAAGTTAGGCTTAAATAATTGAAAGTCAATAAATAAAAGTCATATATAAAGCAATGGATATCCAAATGAATCAACTATATTCTATTATTTTCACTCTCAATTTTTTTTGCCTTGCTATCCTCTTCCCTTCCCCTCTTTCTTCTTATTTTCATAACAAAATCCTTGTTTTTTAATCGCCGTGTGAAAAATCCTGCCTTCAATACTTTTAAATTTTTAGAGCTTTTATCCCAAAAAAAAAAAAAGAAAAGAAAAGAAAAGAAAAACTTCCCACGATTCATTTTCTGGTCGATTAACTCCCCGGAGTTCTACGCCACCTTTCTGTACTGAGACAGTGGATGACGAGAGGAAGTTATCTTTCGGTTTTGTGTCCAGCTTTCATTAAAAAAAAAAAAAAATGACTCATTCGAAAAAACTGGCCGCAGTTCAATTAGGTAAAAGTAAACACATCCCTAACCTGCCCTGACTCAGACAAAGACAAAGCCGCAGCCTGCCGGAATGACGATGAATTCCCTGACCCGGTTGACGATTAGATAAAACCATGAGACATCTATGTTTCAATCCTGGTGATATTGGTTTCAAACGCCTGCCGCTATTTAATGATAAGGCTCTTCAAACCCAGATTTTCAATTTTTCTGGCTGCTTCTTGTTATTTCGATCCATATTTCTCTACTTTCGCTCTCGTTGCCCAAAACAGTCGGCGAATCCCCACAATTCTGTATTCACTTTATTCTGGAAATGATCTTTCGACAGATATAGCAACCCACTTGTCAAATTGTAGTCATGTATTGGAATTGGACGTAGTGTATGCCCGTATCATCCGAAACCACTTCTTAGAATTTAATCCTGCTCCCTTTCATTGGAACAATATCATAAGGTCCTACACTAGGCTAGAGTCTCCAATCAAGGCTATTCGGATCCATGTTGAGATGCTGCGAGCTGGAACTTTTCCCGATTGCTACACCCTTCCTATCGTTCTGAAAGCGGTGTGCCAGTCTTTTGCCATTGAAGTAGGACAGCAGATCCATTCTATTGGCATAAAGCTTGGTCTCCAGTCCAATGAATTCTGCGAAAGTGGTTTTTTAAGTTTGTATTGTAAAGCGGGAGAATTTGAAAGTGCCCACAAGCTGTTTGAGGAAAATCCTGATCGAAAGCTGGGTTCTTGGAACGCCATAATAGGTGGCCTTTCTCAAGCCGGACTTGCTAAGGAGGCGATAAACAAGTTCGTGGAGATGATGAGAAATGGGTTCGTGCCTGACGGCGTCACCATGGTTAGCGTGACATCTGCATGCGGAAGCCTTGGTGACATAGTCATGGCCTTTCAACTCCACAAATGCATTTTGCAGGTGAAAGCCACAGATCGGGCAGACATTCTATTGTCTAATTCACTAATAGACATGTATGGAAAGTGTGGCAGGATGGACCTAGCATTCAAAGTTTTTGAAACGATGGAAGAACCGAATGTTTCATCATGGACATCCATGATTGTGGGTTATGCAATGCACGGACATGTAAAGGAAGCACTTGGATGCTTCCAGAGCATGAGAGAGGCAGGGGTGAAGCCTAACCATGTGACTTTTGTTGGAGTACTGAGTGCTTGTGTGCATGGTGGGACAGTTGAGGAAGGAAGATATTACTTTGACATGATGAAGCATGTTTATGGCATAACACCGCGATTGCAACATTATGGGTGCATGGTGGATCTACTGGGTAGAGCAGGGTTGTTCAATGAGGCTAGAAAAATGGTGGAGGAGATGCCAATGAAGCCCAATACAGTAGTGTGGGGCTGTTTGATGGGTGCGTGTGAGAAACATGGGAATGTGGATATGGCAGAGTGGGTGGCTAAGCATTTGGAAGAATTGGAGCCCTGGAATGATGGGGCTTTTGTGGTGTTGTCTAATATATATGCCGATAAAGGTATGTGGAAGGAAGTGGAGTACATCAGATCAGTCATGAAGCAGAGAAAGCTTGCCAAAATTCCTGCCTACAGCTTAGCGACAAAGTCAGGTTAAACAATGGGGTGGTGGAATCCTATTTTGACTTTGCTTCACCCACTGGACGGAAATGTTATATTTTCTTGAAGAAGAATTGTCCCACGACCCATGTACGGCTGCACTGCATTGTCTGTAAATGCAATGGCCAGGCCAGCTATTGGAAATTTTATATCTCTGGTCTCAAAAGACCAGAATGCAATGCCAGAAAATGAAAAAAAATTGTCTTTCCATTATATTCTTTTTGCTTAAGAGTAAACATAATATGCCAGTATTCTTGCTATCATTTGTGGCAAATCATTTGATTTAATAATATTACGAGCAATTGAGCATCTCCATCTTTGCAAAACTGATTGTTGCAAGATCTCCCTTACTTGTTGTGGTCAAGATAATGTCGGTGCTTGTCCTCATTGGATAATGGCGGTGGGGCATTCCTTTATACATACAGAAGCTTTCACTTCCACCCAAGAAGTACTTCCCTTCTGTTCCTTTCTTAGCCATATCTCTCATCCGAACATACCAGGGATGAGAGTGAAGGATTGTTCACACTTCACAGGACATTTTTGGCAGAATTTAATGCCTTATCTGTGTTCGTTATTTCTCTCATTGGTCGGAGTTACTTTACTGAATAATGATGTTTATAATTTTATACCTCATGTTCTGCTGCAATATGGGAGTACCTTTGGAGATTATGAATTGTCATTAGGGGTGAAAATGGTTAAGCCTCTGTCTTGTTGACTATAGGATTGAATGAAGAAAAAGTGTGCCAGGCATATTTAAGCTGGTTTTGCTCTCTTTTTCCCTCATGTATGACAAAAAATTAGTACTAGTGGCATTGGGAGAACATGTTATATAGGAGTGAATTGAGGCCAATAATAGGCAGCGACTGCATCGTAATTAACCAACAGGCGGCTGCATGCTTTCATTTTAGAATGTTGGAAGAAAAATTAATTTTGTATATTTTTTATGGGTTTAGATAATTATATACTTTGATCATCATAAAGTTAGGATCTGAATTCAAATAAAAGACAAATACTCATTATTTTATGAAAAATAAACTGTTGAAAGGCTCATACAAGGGAATCTGGACATTTTCAATTCACATGTATCATTCCCTTTTTCTTTTCTTTTCTAAGTATTCGTTATTCTTAAAACAAATGGGGAAAGTAGAAAAGGGGAAATTTAACAAGGCTGTCACCCTCAAGTAACATAAGACGAAAGACTAGGGGACATACGAAGACATATATCAGAGGAAAGAGGTAAGCGAGCCTTTCATTTCCATTCTTGGGATGTATAGCTTTGTGGCTGAGTCAGAGTCGGACGCCAGAATCAGCGTAACTTGGTTGTTGCACTTGTCCATGCCTGGTCGGCTGGTCCTACTCCTGATGAAGCCAGATCAGCCTTGTTCTCATGGATGCGCAGTGCAGCACTGGTGATCAGCTTGTAGTGACAGTCATTAGTTTTGCTTAAGTAGCACTCTTTTTATTACTGATTTAACTTAAAAGGAGGGTAATATCAATACAAGTTTGTGAAGAATATACCCCCAGAAGCTGCACAATTAATGGTGATATTTAGAACTTAAAACAGGATCGGTTTTTAAGATGTGATGTGGTGAAAAATAGCAAATTATATGAAATATGCGACAGTGCAGTCATTGATGCATATGCTATTGAGGATTAATTTCAATATCTTAGGAATATAAAACGTGAGAAAGCTAAATGGTATTTAAAGATTTTATGGGCGGTTGGACTGTAAATTTATAAGACAATTTGCTTGACAATTGTATTTTTCCTCTACCAAGTGAGCAATTGAAGGAGTGGCTAGGTCATTTGAATTTTATGGAGAATGATTGGGTGGAATTATTAACATTTTGTTCCATGCTTATAAAAGCCAAGTTGTCAAAAGAGTCATTATTTTAAGGACACAAAAAGTCAGTTATTCTAATGGTAATGTCACCTTCCTCTTTGGAAGAGATCTTGGTTTAAACTCAATGTTGAACGTGTTTGTGTGTATGTGTCTTCCTTTCCTATAAGAAAAGGTTAGGCTAAGGATAAAATTAAAAAAAAAAAAAACCCAAAGAGTCAATATCAACTGCTTCTTAAGGAACTCAAATATCATTCTCCCTTTATCTAGGCAAAAGACCACATATGCTTACTAAAACAAGAAAGTATTCTTTTTTTTTTTTTGAGTGAAATGTGAAATTACATTAACAAATCAAAAGGAATTACAACTATTGAAAGATACAAAGGGTCTTCCTCTTCATTTGCCGACTGTTGTGAGAGAAGTAAGGAATGATCAAAGACATAAAAGAGCTCTTCTAAATAATATAGTAACCTAGTCAAATGATCAATATAAACATTGCAATTTCTATAGAAATGACATAATAACAAAGAATATTCTGTATAGTAAAGTAAACCAGCATTGTCAATGGTGTCTTTGAAGGGATGTGTCATGTCACAGCCTTTGGTTAGAAGTTCAACAACTTCAATATAGTCACAAAAGACATCTATCTTCCTAAACCCAGTATTCCAACACAAAGTTTAGATCATGAACGATGGCAAGCAACTCTGCAATTGCTGGAGGAACATTAATTAACTTACAACTAAAACACCTAGTCCAGCTACCATTTTCGTTCCAAATTACTCTGCCACAACCACTATTACCATTAGAAAGCGCCAACTCATCTATTCAACTATGAAAGCACCCTTCCTTGTTGAGTTATTTCTCTGACCGTTCCAATTAAAAGACATGAGGGAGGTATGGGTCATCAAATTCTTGTCTGAACACTCTCTGAATAAACTAGAAAGGACATTATAATAACCATCGTATGCATGTGTCTGTTCACAAGTGAAAAGCCACATGAAAGATTTAATTTTCTCCGCCACTAGCCCCCTCCAGAGCATCATATGCTGTACGTACCACTTCTTGTACTTGCAAAAAGAAACTAATATGCAGATTTTATAGAAAAGTGGCCATCAATGGATGTCCTCTCTCCTCACAAGGTGGATGAGCACGGATCAGACAGGTAACCATGCCATGCGGGAACCAAGCGGCTAGCATTCAGTTTGCTTTTAGGAAACATTCTGAAGTCTGACACTACATTAGTCCATGTGCATCATTAGTTCAATTCAATGGCCTTAGATCCTTTGGGCTTTTATCAGGAAGACGAAGAACTGGGTCCAATGGACAGGAAATAATTCATAATAACACCCCAATTAGGTTAAAATAAAAATCCTATTTAATCCATAAACTGAATTGGCAACCATAAATATAATATTGTTTTCATTATTAATGGAATAAAAATATATTTTTAAAAATATTATTTTTATCAATTAATATCAAAGAAAAAATTATTGTAAATTGATCACTCTGCCTCTTTTTTTTAATTTAGTTCCCATACTTTATTTTTTAAAAAAAAAATACTCAAATACTTTAATTCTGTTCGAAAGCCACTTCCCCTATCCTCGATTAGCGATCCACATCAACAAACGCCATCCACGTATATTTACATTACATTTGCATCAGAAAAAACTACATGGAGAACACTTATGGTATTCTCTACGCATGAGGCTCCACTCTCCTCTAATGGAAGAAATGCTTAGAGGAGCAACCCAAAGTGGTGTTAGTGAATGAGAAAAATAGAAGCGAACATTCAATTTATTTTGCCGCTAATTCACACACACATATCCATTATATACGTGTGTGTGAAAATAATTGAACTCAAACTAAATTTTTATTGCTAAATTAACTCTTGGCCTTAACAATATTAGAATTTCACCAAGTTAAATAATTATATAAAAAATTAATTTTTGTTCATATTATAATCCATAAGTTTATTTTATTTGATTTGAGTTATATTTTCACTAGTGGCGCCAGCGAAACAGAGAAATAGAAACGAATATTTAAATCACGTGCTGAGTGGTGTGCTGAAAGGAAAAATCTCCAAGCAAGAGATTTACCATTCCAAGAATAGCTCCTTCTTTATCCAAAAAAACAAAAGCCTTCATGTTAACTGCAGCATCCGACAATGATGGAAATACATCAACTGTTGGCTCACGAGCGACGTGGATTCAATCAGCGTCTCACATCCCCACATCCAGTAAATAAATGTCTCACATGATATTGTAGGCAGTCAATTTAATTGAAAGTTGTCAGATATGGTTGTACCTTATATATATATATATATATATATATAATAATGTAATGATCTATATAAGAAAAATCGTTGAGATGTATCCTCACTCAATAAAAATATCGAGTGTTTGTAATATTTAAATTATTGAAATTTAAAGCAATCATTTAAAAAAATTTACTTATTTATTAATCTTAAATAAATATAAATTTTGATGATTTAAATATTACGTTGTTTTTAGTGTCTGTATTAAATATAATTATTGAATTTAAATCTCATAAAATCTCCTTTAACTGACTATTTTTTCATTTATTTTTGGTCAAAGCATGAATTTTCAGACACTCTCTGGATATTCATTCACTTAGAAAGAGAATTTAGAACACTCCCATAGCTCACAACCGCGACTGAGCCAACTCATTTTCCATTTTATGGGTTACTTTTTCACTTCTCAACTACACCCAGCGCCACCACCGAAAACTTTAATTCATCTTTCTATTAACCGATATCAATCAAGCCATCTCTCACAAACTCATATCACAAGCAAAAATTCCCAACAGGAGGAATAATGGGAAGCAAGGAAGGATGGAGATGGATAAATATCACGCAGACAATCAACACATGCATTACACAACATCTGAAATAATTAACTTAAAACTCACAAGATTGATGAGAGACCAGTTTATTCATTCCAATAAACTCATACAGACACAGCAACAAGAAGTATTAATTTGAAAGCCTGAGAGCTTGGTCTACAGTAGTGAGATCAGCCTCCATCCTCAAGCCCATGACTTGCAAACCAGAGCTAGCGAAGGAATTCAACTGTTGCAGGGTCCATCCTTGCGCGGGTTCAACTTCATACTCCCACTCAACCTCACTTCCTTCTCCACAATCGATCACTCTCCACGTCGCCACGTACGAGTAGAACCCTACGTTGCTCTCTGTGATCGTATACCTCAAGGTCATGTTCGTGGGGTCAATGTACAGCAGTTTCTGCTTCGTCCAATTCACTGTTTGTTTGTCCTTTTGATCCACAGGGGTCTTGAAGCCGGCGCAGAAGCGGACGCAGCCGGCTTGGCCGGAGACGCCTTCCACCGGAATGCATGTCGGAGTAGGGAACCACTTGCTGAGGCCGCAGAAGTCGGCGATCAGAGGCCATACTTTCTCTGCTTTGTGTCCCCTTACCTCGGTCTTTGCCTTCCCCTTCCATTTTCTCTCATCAGCTTCCTCCATTATTTCTATTAACAAACTATTCAACTGTATTTCCCACACTCAATCAGTGAGGTTGCTGGCGCTACATGGACGTGGTTTTATACTCGGCCCTTAGTGACTTGTCAAACCTCAAATTGTAAGAAAATACTTAATCACATTGGATGCTTGAAACACCTGCCATTCTATAAATTGGTGATAAATAGGTCAGTACCCATGATATTTTTTTTTCCAACAACAGCAAAAGAAGTGGGACATTCTAATTGGAAAAAAGAAAAATTCGATTTGATATTAACGAATTGCATTTTACACGTTTAAAACTAAAAGAAAACGCAATTACCTTTCCACCCGCCTACCATGTCCTCTCCTTTCAAAATTGTCACAAGCTCGTATTTTTCAAATATAAAGCATTTTGGTTTTTTAATGAATAGGTTATTTGAAACTAATGAGATTTTTATATTTATTTGTGATTAAATTATCTGATTAAATAAGAGTAAACAAGCAAAATAAACAATTTTTAATGGCGGGTTAACTGTTTTATTGGAGATAGAAGTTAGTTAACAATAGCATATAATTTTTAACAAAAAAATTCTACATCTCTTTTTATTATTATAAAAAGAGCAAAAAAAAATCAAAACATAAGGTCAACTCTAATATATAAGTTAAGGGCCTAATTAAACGGGTTGGCACAATTAAGCCTTTTTTTTAATATTGTTGATGACAATTAATAGTTTTGATATTATTGATGATGTTGCAAATATTTTATCTATTTATTTTAAAAATATTGAAAAAAAAATTAAAAAAGAGCCTGAGATAGTGAGATCCATAAGACAGACCCCAAGGCTTTGCCAACATAGTATTAGTCCTTTTTAATTTCTTAATTAAACTGACATTTCAAATTCAACTCTTTAATATTCCAACCGGCCAAGGGCAAGACCATTAAAAAAAATGGTTATTGAACCAACAATAATTGGATAATGGAAAGATTTAACTTCAATAGGGTTGGGAATTCAGAGTTTGTTGATGGAAAAAATATACTATATTAGAAGAATTATTTCAGTTGGATGGAATTGTGAATGCTTAAATTTAACATGATAGTATCAGATGTTAGATAATTCTCTTATCAAAAAAAGAAAAGAAAAAGGTTACTGCAGAATTAGAATACATGTACAGTGACCATTGATCATGTCTAGCGCGATTTTTGCAAGCTACAACGATATGTACATGCAAATCCATTAATGCAATTAAGGGTTTTTTTTGCCATAATTAATGTAATTAAGTTTGGGACATATATTTTTTAATATTTGGGGGGTTATTTTTTTGGTCATGAATGCCGCAATATGAGTAAACGAAAGCCAACAAAACAAAGTCTGGGAATCAAAGAATGGAAAAACAGCCAAAACTAAATAAAAGAAACAGCACAAATAAATCAACCAACGCCTAATCTAACATCTGGAGACGTTGAAGACATTGCAGCATCCTGAACTTCAGTGGCTAGAATGAAAGACAAAGTAAGTGATGGTGTGAACACCCAACCCCACAGGGCTCACTTCCTTAATATTTGGGGTTTGGTATCTTATTGTCTCCCAAATATATTATTATTCCAACTATTTCCCAGCCATTCCCACTTCTGATCTTTTTTAACTAACACCCAGTATTCATGTGTTCAGTAGCCTTTTATTGGACTATGATCATGGTTAAGTTTTTCTTCTTTTTTTTTAATACTAAATCATGATTAAGTTGATGACAACATATCATGAAAAGTAACAGAGGGATAGGCAAGTACCATAAATTGTACATCCAATTCCAAAAATTTAAGTCACGTTACATTATTAATCCCGTAGTCGTAAATTATCCGTGTTTTGCTTCTTCTTCGTTTTTTTTTTTTTATGTTATGTTAGAAATGATTGAATTTAAAACTTCCTACCTACATCTTATCCCATCCTTCACATTGAACTATATAGGCTCACCATTTCTGTTTAAGAGAAATTTAAAAAAAATGATAATAAAATCCCTTCGAATTATATAAATGATAATTTAATTTCTTAAAATACCATAATTTCAATGAAGTTTCTTGAGACTTCCTTATCAATAATTTTTTAGTGAAAAGACAGTTATCCTTACTGAAAATAACAAATCTCAAATTATAACTTTTGTTCTATAAATCATAAGAATTAAATAAAAAATCACAACTGATCAATTATAATTTTTATTATTGAAAAACAAACTTTCAATTACAATTTTTATTTAAAAAATAACAACTTTTATTTTATGAATCATGAGAGTTGAATAAAAATCACAATTTATCAAATATAATTTTTATTATTAAAAAATAAGTTCTCAAAATAATAAACTCTATTTATAAATTTTATTTAAAAAATCACAAATTTTTTTTAAAACATTATAATAATTGAATAAAAAATAAAAATTATCAATAAGAATAAAATAATTTTTTAATTTAAAAATTATTAATAAAAAATTTTAAAAAAATTTATTAAAATTATAACATTTTGAAAAACTAATTTATGAGACATTTTATTGTTATTTTTTCTTTAAATAAAGTAGCACATCATTTCTGTTTGAAAGCATACATCATGATATATCTGTCTCTCCCGAGCCAACCTATCATTTATAGTACATACGACGATATGTATAATGTATACGCGTGCGCACGCATATATGCTAGCATGGATTCACCCACTCCTATTTAATGTGGTAACATGTGTGTAATATCCGGCCAAAAAATATCTAAGATAAAAAATTTGTGAATACATATATAGAGAGAGAGAGAGGATGAAAATAGAGAAAATTAATTTCATACATTCTAGCCTGTACTTGTAGGTTACTTTTCTCTGAACTCCGGAGGCATTTAAATGTTTTACATTTCAGAGGAAAAAAATTCAAGATGAAATATAGAAAATCTGAAACTTTCACTGAAACTAGGAAGGGTTCACGGGTCACAACCTTAAAATCACTCTAGATTGAATTATGAGAAATATGAATATGGTCCCCCCAAAAGTTAGAGTCGGTAATTTGGGCCAAGTTCGACGGGTCAGCCCGAATCCGCCCGAAAAATTTAGGCCCGAACTTAAAAAAATAATTTTTTTTATTATTCGGGCCTATTCGGGCCGCCCAAATAGGCCCGAAAAAATTCAGGCCGGGGATCGGGCTTGGCTCGAATACCGAATAGAAAATTTTTTTTAAAAAAAAATATATAATATAATAAATATTAATTATTTTTCAAGTTTTATATCATTTTATTTTAAAATACCATATATTTGAGTGTATTACTATAGTTATTTAAAAAAATAAAAATATTTATATTTTTCCATTTTTATTATTTTTAATCAAATAAAATATGTCAAAATAATAATTAAAATATATTTTAATATTAATTTTTATATTTTAAGACTCAATTTTTTTTGTCATATAAACTATTTTCTTGTCCAAAAAATTATATTTTATATTTTTTATAAAATAAGATAATTAATTTTAAATTAAAAATAATTTTAAAAATAAAATTTGGACATGTATGAATTTTCAGCTCTACTACTAAACAAACATAATAAATAAAATAATATTTTTAGATAATTATTTGATTATTATCCACGCCAGACTTAGTTAAAAATTAAGAATGAACTAAAATAAGTACTTTTTATATATAGGACTTAAACAATATAAAAGATTTAAAAAAATTCAAAAAAATAGTATTTTACCCATAATTAAATAATTTTATTTTATATAATATAATGATGATTATTTTTTTCATATTCTTAAAAATAAAAAGTACAGTTTATTCAATAGTTATTAAAAGCTTTAAACTAATCAGGACAATAATTTTAAATTAATGATTTAACCGTAATTGAATTGAGATTAACTTGATCATAATTAAAATAATATGATTCAATTAAAATATATAAATATTTTTATATAACTATGATAAGAGCAATATTTAAATAAATATGACATTAATTTACAAGTAAAGAAAATATTCATGAATAAATTGCACATAATACAACAAAACGGTAATACTACTTAAATACTTAATTAAAAATTTAATAAATTATTATTTTTTATTCATTTCAAGTTAAAATAATATGTTATACTTAATAAAATTATTTAAAAATTAAAATTGATTAAAAATAAGAAAAATATTTTTAGAAAAGTTTTGGGTATTCGGGCCGGCCCGAATAAGCCCGAAGGCGTTAGGGCCGGGCTTGGCTATATGGGCTTTTTAGAAAGAGTAGGATTCTTTAAGCCTGACCCGAATAAGCTCGGCCCGAATTGAGCCTGGCTCGAATAAGCCCGACCCGCCTGAATTACCGGCTCTACCAAAAGTCCAGCGTAGCTGAAATATGAACCAGAAGTTACAGGTTAAAGAAGAGACCACCCCGTTGTGCAACTGTTGAACCTTAATACTCATGAATCATGATGAAGCCTTAAAAAACCGGAACAAGGGCATCACAAAATGTCTATGACCCACTACCCCTCAAACTTTTGATATGAAAAATGTGTTCAATTTTGCATACCACTGGTAGTGGCCAACTATTTTCTTGTCCTTTTTTGTTTCATGGTCTATCTTCAATTTTGACACAGTCCACACAACATGATCAAAGCACATGTCCAACTTGCAGTAGAGACAGAGACAGAAGCTAAGCGAGGTGCTAAACAGCAGATAAAATAGTCCAATTGCTTTTTCTATTTCCAATAGAATTTCTTGTTTGTGTCTCATGCACCCTACTCAAACATGAGCACTTCATGATTGACAACGTTGGGTCTGCGTTGCGAGTTGCCTAAACCAAGTTCATAAGGGCGAAAGCTGAATAGAGAAAATCAGTGAAACTTTCGGCTAGCGTGACTCTTGTAACCAATTTTTCAACTTAATCAGGGTTGATGATGATGAAGACTTGAAAACAAGTTCTCGCCCTCTATGTCTATACTTCATAACAAAAAATACTGTGTGAAAGCCTCCATCAAAAATCATGCAGCTAGCTACTGGTTTCTTCTAGAAAATAAGAAATAGAAAGAGAAAGAAAGAAAGATATTCCGTCGCTCGCAGCTTTTTGTTCGCTGCTAATGACACCTAGTGATTCTGAGTTCTTATTTACAATTATGAGAAACGGAGTTAACATTTTTCAGAACTCATGTATCGACATGAGCAATGGCACTTTGAGAATTTACGTCTGGATCAACTATTACGCCCGTCGACTTTGAGCCTCTCAAAGTCACTTCAAAATTCTCGTTTTCTGAAGACGAAGATTTGACTTCATAAAGGTTGCTTTTGATTTCTCCATTTTCCTTGCTATCATTGGATATGTTTCCATCATGCACCATCTCTATCATTATCTGTGCCTCGCCGCCTATTGCCTCAGTGTCATTAACATCAGGAGGAACACCATTTTCATCATCAAATATATGTGCCCAATCCTGAACTGCCAAGGTTTTAGGTTCTTCAACCTCTTCGTTTTCCTTAATGGAGCCATCTGGTTCTGTGTTCATTCTCATCTGTAGTTGCATACCGTTTGGTGATCCTCTAATTTGTACTTCTGCTTCCTTCTCATTACTCTGAGAATCATTGAAAAAAGGTATCTTAGAGTTCTCCAAATTGCCTTCCCCTTTGTCATCCGACTCGCTTCTGCTTGATCTATCATCAATATTTCCAGAATTTTTATCGTTCCTTCCACCATTGATCTTCTCAGGTTCTCCTATATGTACTTTTCCTAAGGTAGGAAACTGAATTTCATACAGCCATGAAGGTGTCCCTTTACGCCCCAAGGAAACTAGCCCATATTGCTCAACAGGCTTGGGCAGACCACCATAGTTGTCTGGTTTCTTTCCTGGGTGGTTAATCTGGTACATCAACCAAGCACAGCCAATCACAAGCAGCATCACCAGTAGTGCCTGCTTCATGTTGGCCCCTTTAGATCTCTGTTGCCTTCCAAAGTTCTGATACTCCATTCTGCAATGATTCAATCCAACTAGTTCAAGTTTCTTGACAATAATGAAAATAAGTCAAACTCGATGTAAGAAGAACCCCAAAATATCTTTAATGGGGTCTTTCAATAGGATGATTCTGGCATTATGGCAAGTTAAGACCTAGCAGCAACGGCATGACGCAGTAATATATCGGACCTTATCCCCTAGAGAAGAATTCGAGTTTTAGGCTCTTGCAGGACCGAAGCCCTTTTAGACTTTTCCTTTGGTGATTAAGCCCCTTTATTTTATTTTATTTTTTTGAATGAAACTAGAGCAAAAACAATGGAGAATGGTTAAAAAACACAAAAAGGGTCATTAGAGTTCCTGGCAAGTCCCTTTAAATTTGATTGAATTGAAATTAGTACTGCGGAAAAGCCCAGTTTTTGAATTTTTCTTTCACCAATGCTTCAAGATCGTCTCCATCTCTAATTCCTATAAATCTCGTGGACCCAATAATTCATCGTTAAAACAGGGAAACTGGAAACTTGGCACCGAAAGATCAATATGGGAAAGTCGATCGGATCGTATTGAAAAGAAAAATTGAAATCAAAAGTCAAGAGGGGGAAAAACAGAGGAGTGGTCCTAGTCTAAGAAAAACAAGGTTGGTTGGCAGAATGCTTTTCCTAGTTTCAGATATATACAAGCAAAATTAGTCATTAGAAACAACATAAGAATCAAGAACTTCGACGCACATTGGAATTCAAGAAACAAGCATTATCATGCCATGGACAAAAGGGGGAAAAAAAACCAGGAAATCAAACAAACATAAAAAGCAAGGCAAATTCGAAAAGAGTAGGCGACAATCAAGAACCCTTAAGCAGGGGGAAAAAAGGCGCCATAAGAGTCACCTTCTGTGAGTGAAGAGCGCGATTATCTTTCTCTGCGGAGTGGTCGTCTTGCTCTTTTTGTTCTTTGTGCTTTTCAAAGTTCTTCAGAGGAGATCAAAATTAGAATAGTTCGGCACACCGTTGAGACGTTGAGAGTGCCCAGAGTAGCGGTTGCTTTTTGTGCGTCGTCTCCAAAATACCCCCGATATTCTCGCCGAACCTGATTGCTTACTCAAAGTGTAAGTACATAGAAATCTCTGAGGGTAATTAGGGAAGTCAAATTATGATGCCTTTGTGTGTTGACTGTTGAGTTCCGAATGTCCTTATCTTTATTTTTCTTCTACTTTTTAAATTCCCGGAATTAATGCCAAATTTTCTAAGCGGTAATTCTATTTTCCCAACTTTTAATTGTTTTCCCATTATGATTGAGGGGAGATAGAGTCATCAAGTTTGTTTCACGAATATTAAATAAAAAAAATATCATGGCAACCAAATTATTCGTAGTTTAGAGCTACCATATCATTATCATTATTAATTAATTTTATAATGATTTGACAGATTCCACTTGATTCGCATTCATCAGTTTAATAGTAAAAAAATGGTTAAAGCCAGGTATGCAAGCAATTGATTCAATTTTATCAGCGTATTTTGTGTGGTCTGACTTTGAATCAACCGGCCCTTCTTTAATTTATCCAAATAAAAAAATTTGCGTCCTCTATTGAAAGATCTACATTTCATTTGACATAAATTATTTTATATTTAATTATAATAATAAAATTTAATTATTATTAAATCATCTTTTTAGATTTTACTATTTCTTCGTGAATTTTTATTTCTAAAATAATTTATTATTTACTTATTTTAAATTTTTATGATATTTTTATGTATCTCCATATTTTTATGATATTTTTTTTATCTATCACATCTAGAAAATATTTAAAATAACTTCTAAAAATAATTAAAAATATATTTTTTAATTCTGATTATTTTTGAAATTTTAAACAAACATAATAAAATTTCATAAAATAGAACACTTTTTAAAAAGGTATCTTTCATGAAAAATACTTTAAACAAACAAACTCAAAATAGTAATGATATACCTTCTTTATTAAAAAAATGTGAGATATTTTTAACTAAATCACCCATCAATATAATAATTAGTTATTTTCAAATCAAAACCATCTTTTCGTATCTACCCCTATTTATTAGAGTATTAAGTATTTTATTTTAAAATAATTACAAAGTGATTTATTTATTAGGAATATTTTTTAAAAAATACATTAATTATAAAAAAAATATAACTTTAGATTTTTACATTTTGCTAACGTTTTACTATGGGTTCCTACACTTTTATTTTTAGGTGTTCTGGTCCCTCCAAAGTCCCAACACTTTGTTCATTTGAAGATATAGAATATCAAAAAAATAAAAATATAAGAACTTAAAACTCAAAAAAAAAATGTAGAAACTTATAATAAAATAAGAATAAAATGCGAGGATTCAAAGTTATTTTTTTTAATTATACTTTGAAATTAAAACGATATTTTATATTTTTTAACATCCAAACTCTAAAAAAAAAGTTTCTTACTTTGTTTAACATTGAGAATAATAATAATAACAACAATAACAATAATAATAAAAGATTATCGTGGAATCATTTACCTTTGGTCAGTTGGCGTGATGTGAGGCTGAGAAATTAGAAGTCCAAATTGGTTTTTTCTGTGTGAAGGAGCAGGTAGTGAAAAGAAGTGCGTAAAATAAGTTGTCAAATGTCAACCGTTACCAAGCTTTTGCTGAATATAAAATACACTCTTCTCTCTCGTCGCCCTTCTTGAATTATTGTGCAAGAACTGGATCTATTTTTTATTATCTATCCATGTTTATTAATCAATCTATGTATTTAAAATTAAAAAAAAACATAACTTTAAATCTTCACATTTTGTTCACCTTTTACTATAGATTCATGCATTTTTTTTATATTTTAAATTCTTATATTTTTATTTTTTAATATTTTGGGTCCCTCCAAAATCCTCATATTATTCATTTAGGGACTCAGAATATTAAAAAATAAAATTATAGGATTTAGAATATTGAGAAAAAAAGTGCAAAGACATGTAATAAAATGTAATCAAATTATATGAATTAATAGCTGAGTAAAATATAGGAATCTAAATTATGTTTTCTCTAAAATTAATTTGCCAAACATATGTGAATAGAAGAAATTATTTTGACTCTCAGTCAATGGGCCGAAACTGAGTTTGGATCTAAGCAGATCCACCTGGCAGCCTATGCTTCTCCAACTCTCAAAACAAGGCCCAATCTAGCAGAAGCCTATGTATGACTTTCCCAAACTTTTCAGGCCGTGCGGTCTCCACTCAATTGGAACACCACCCCAACAAAGGGGCAATTGCCCGTTATATCCACACATGAATCCATATTCATACTCATATTCATAGGTAGGAAGTAAGAACACACATCCATCACTCTTTTGCCTAACCTGAAGATCGTACACACAACCTACTCATCAAAGGAGGGGTTGCCAATGCCACTAGACCACAAGGAACTCGGCAATGGAATTTCTTTTTATACACCAGACTCATGTTTTTTTTTTCTTTTTTATAGAGTATAAAATACGAAAAAATAAGTATATTATGCGTGGTTTGCAAATAACACAAAATTTAAGTGATTTTAATTTATAGAAATACATGGATTTTATTTTCTTTAACGAAGAAAAAATTATTTACCATTAAATTATACAAACTAGCAATCAATAATAATTTTTTGGATAATATAACTTTTAGCATCTAAAATTTATCTCGATTATTAATTTAGTTCTTGAATTTTGATTTAATATAACTCAATTGTTATAGTTTGCTGATGAATTATAAGAATTGAATTGTATTAAATCAAAAATCATAAAAGTTGAATTGTTTCAAAGTCAAGAAACAAAAGGGATTAAATTGTTATAAGCCAAAATTTATGAATTGAATTGATAATTAAAAAAATTTAAAGATTAAAAGTTATATTTCCTTTAATTTCTTTGTAAGCATTATGGATAATAATTTTGGTCGGGCTCTAAAAATTTATCGTATCTTATATTTAATTTACATGATAAGAAAAAGCAATCCGTGTTTAAATTAATGTGCTACATTGTTTCATGATAAAGCGTGTTATGACATGCCACGCGTACTTGGAATTCCGAACGACTCCAGCAAAGTCATATATAAGACAAACAAGGTTTGCAATCATTTTATAGATAAGGGCGAAAATTTTGATATAATATGATAGATGTGGACAAGGCAAAGGAGGACGCTCCTCGTGGACAGGCCAAAGGGGAAGCAAATGTAAAAGGCAATATATAAATTATGAAGAGAGGAGTTGAAGCCTGAAGGAACCGAAAGGATATGTGATTGGCCAACAAAAATAATAAAGCAGGGAAAAGCAGAAGCACTACATATAAAAGTGGTTAAATAATATTAATTTTGTGGAAAAATAATTATATTCTTTTGTAAGTATGGTGCAAAACCAAAGACAGTGAGATGAAATTGTGGCTGCTGTATGCCCCCTTTGCCGGACCACCCGATACGTTTATCCAAATATCTTCACCGAACCACTTCCGTTCCATATATAATTTTTATTTTTATTTTTATATGAATGAAAATTTAAGTAAATCAGATTTTGAAAGCTCATTAAAATTAAAAAATATATATATATTTCGAATTCAAATGTCACTTATACATGTCCATAAAAAATCCTTATATCACTATTCATTGTAAATTGTGAGCGAGGGAGAAGAAATAATTGATGCTAGTCGTGCGATTGACACGGGCGCGCAATTATCTTTTCACATTTTATCTTTATTTCTTTTCCTTTTATGTTTATTTATGTATATATAGTGACCCAATATATTATAAATATATAATATGGGCGTTGTTGAAAAGCGAAGTCATGGACGCAGGAGCACGAATTTCTTGGGGAATGAACAAAGGTTACGCAGTTAAGGAAGGTGAGGAGGCTAAGAAAACTGCAGTGGTCAAAATCAACAGTAGTTGCCACAAATTCAAGTTTCCTGTTTTACATTTCGATTCTACCTTTTTCTTTTTATGCTTTCTCTCATCGTGACCAGAAAGATTTAATCCGAACCAAAGAAAAGAAAATCACACAGCGTAACAGTGGTAGAGAAGTGTTCTATGTTTCGTTAGAAATAATACCACAAGACACGTCCATGCACATGGAGACGAAGTAAACAAAGTAAAACGTCATTAATTATATCATTAATTAAGATTCATTTTTATCTCTAGGTATTTTTTAAGAAGTACTGTGCACCACTGATAAGTGGGAAAAATAATAATATGTGCGTGGAACTTTCACGCAGCAATAAATAAGACTCTAACTATATTCTTTGGTATTAATTTGCTCTTAATTTATTTTAGGAGAATAATTTTAAAGTATCATCACTCAATACAATTAATTAATATAAGGTCTATTGACAATTAAGCAACCTTGCAGTAATTAAATATGTTGTGTGGGAATTGTATGTAATTCTTCCAACTCTTTTTCCAAAAACTTTAGGCATTCTAAACTCTTATTAAAATAAAATAAAATAAATATTATTAAAATATTAAATATTTTAATATTTAATAATTTAAATATTATTATTTATAAATATTCACTGAAATTTTATAAATTATTTTTTAAATACTAATAATTGAAACTAGTTTTTTAAAAATTTATAAATGACTTGTAATTTTTTTATATGTCAATCATATTTTAAATTTTGGTTAAATTTCTTAAATTTTAAAGTCATTTTCTGCAATTTTTTGGTAAACTAATGTTTTTCCTCCTAAATATTGAATCATTTAAATTTAATACTCTCCATACAATATAGTGTTTGGAGATAAAATAAAAAATGTGACAAACTAGAACCGACATGCCAACAAAAATATTTATATAAAAGATATCATTTATCTCATTAATATACTACAAAAAGAGCTACTTCAGAAGAGAATAATGAAGAAATGAGGGGAAAATTCCTTTGATAATTTAGAGGTTTATTTTATTCATTAATTTAGATGTCAATTTCCTTTTTAAAATTGGATGGTGCAATATTTTAGAGGAAGACCATTGGTTAACCTAAAAAATAGAAAGAATGACCTAAAAAATTTAAGCTTTAAACATTATTAAAAAGATGATCAATATATAA